TTAACAAACCTGTGCACTGCGCCGTACTATGCTGGTAAAAAAAATTTGCCATGCGCCGTACTCCAACAAAGCTAAAATAGTTTAAATATGGATGTGCGACAACGCTTTCAGTCTATCACACACCGTACACATAAACATATATCTGCATTGTGCTGCAGTTGGATANACCCCAGGAGCTGGGGTAACAATGACCATCACTTTTTTTAAAATTACATCAAAACTATGAGAGGCAGGAGCCAGCAATTTATGGTGAGTGAACCTAGAGTATAGACCTGTATTTTACAGGTTTCAATTGAAGTTTAATTTAGCTAGTAAAAAAAGGGCATCATTAAAAAAAAAGTGGTCTAAGTTACTCCATTTTATGGTATGAAAATCATTATGTAGGTTATCATAGCACAAATCGCAATAGAGTATCAAGATTGCAGTTCTGCCACCACCCTTCATTGAATTGTCCGGCCTTTTTTCTAAAATTCAATAATTCTCTTCCAGCAAAGTTTGCAAAATTCATTAGCTGCATAAAATGCTCTCTGCTGTGGCGTTCGAGTTCCGGTTGACATGACATCCGTTTATTGTTTGACACTAATTTGAAAAGGTTGCTTCAGATATATTAATCATTGCTATTCCTATGTTTCACCCTCAATTTAATGTAGCTAACAATATTGAATGGCATTATTCATACAAATCTGCATCTATTAAACTTTTACATTTTAAGATCTGATGGAAGCAGCAAGCATCCCTAACAATACAAGGATGTATATAAAAACATTAATGATCTAGAAGCAGGCTTCACAAAAAAAAACATTTCAACATGGCTATAATTAAATAAAGATCATTACTTGTAGTTTAATAAACATGAACGAAGTCTCCCTATTAAAAAGTTATATTTCGTTGGTCATCAAAGTTTATATCAACTACGCAAGTCAAACTAACAATAATAAAATGTAAGACATGTCCGGGTTGCTTATGACTCTTCCGCTTTTTGGATACGGAACGTAGGGTAATCGTAAACTGCGGCTATTAAACATACGAAATGTAAACAGAACTTACAGACCACTGTGCAGAGAGTGCATGAATATTATTAATTCTTTGGCGACGCTTCAGTAGCCAAATTTACACCTTCAGAAGATCTTGCCAACACATTTAGATTGAAATTCTTCCATTTAATATATTTGTCAGTCTTTGGCCAACTATTTAAAAAAAAGTAAGGCATGTTGGATGGATCAGGATGCAGTGAAGCTTGTCCGGAAATCAGTTGTGATGAGTTCCCGCCAAAAAAATGTAAACATCAAGTTTATGATTACGTAGTTGCGGTCACATTAGAGCGGTCAGACTGCATTATCACATGTTCAGTTGACACTTGCTGTACAATCGGACTATTTTTTGGGTAAAATTAGTTATTTGGGGTAACACGTGCATGAAACATTGTAAATAAGTTCGTGGCTTGTAAATAGTTTTTCATTACTCAGCGATCAGCGTAAATGGCTTTTCATTAAAAATTACCCGGTGACACATCTTAAAATTACCCGGCGACGCTTAGGCTTAAAAACCCATATATTGGCAACGCTGCATCCATCCTCTGCACCAGAAGTGTTCACTGTTCAGTGGTGCCATATGACTTTGAAGAAAATTTCTTCTAAAATAAAGTTCTAGATTTCTCATTTACCAAATTTACATATCAAGAAAAATCATATATTATTGAAGGATAATTATCATAGTGGCAAACCAGAGCTTTTTTAGAATTCAGTTCATTTTTAATTTCCTCATTTACTCAAGATTTCAACCAATTTCTCAAGTATAATAAAGCTGGTACATATCATGATACTTTACTGGTCCTCCTATAGGACTCAAAAATGAACTTGAGGGAGAGTCTAAAAAAACTCTCTGCTTTGCCACTATGGGATAATTATTAAAGGCATACTGTACTGAGTATTATGTCTGTTCCTCCACAACCTGCTCTTCTGCGGCGTAGAATTGATAGCCTGGATTGCGTGAACACATGCATGAAGAGAAACAATTTTGATTATATTGGGCCAACTGCACAAACCTATGGCTTTAAAAAACTCATTATGCAGGAGAAAATTTCCCAAAAACATGCATCATCCTGAGTGTGGCATTTGACTAATTTTTTTAGAAAAAATATAAAAAATACTGTAATACCTGCAATTTTTAAAATGACTGCAAAATGATAATTTTTACCTGGAATTTTATACAAATTCTGTCCAATTTTCCAAATTGCTCAAAGCCTCAACAAACTAGGATTCAAGGTTTTAGCCTTTAACCATAATTGTATATTTTTAATACTACAAAATTCTAAATTTTTATAAATATTTAATATTGATCCCATGGTCAGGAAAGTGCAGCGTGTACGCCGGAGGTTCGTTTTTGGATGTACGCCAGTACACCAGGGAAGAAAGTTGCCAATATGCTTGCTAAAAACGGAAGTGCATCCCTCGCCAATGCTGCATGATCAACACAGGCACACTAACTTTACGATTGATGCCTGGCAATCGTCACAAACCTGTCTCTTATACACATCTAGATGTGTATAAGAGACAGACAGAAGCGCGCTCTCTGCGATCAAAGTGGCCGATGCCTAATGATCGACACAAGCGCACCCGATTTACGATCGTTTTAGCCAATGCCCAATGATCAACACAGAAGCGCGCTCTCTGCGATCAAAGTGGCCGTTGCCTAATGAACGACACAAGCGCACGCAATTTACGATTGGTTTAGATGATGCCCAATGATCAACACTGATGCGTGCTCTTTGCAATCAAAGTGGCCGATGCCTAATGATTGACAGAGGCGCACGTGATTTACGGTCAGTTTAGCTGATGCCCAATGATCAACACTGATGAGCGCTCTCTGCGATCAAAGTGGCCGATGCTTAATGATCGACACAAGTGCACACGATTTACGATCGTTTTAGTCGATGCCCAATGATCAACACTGATGCACGCTCTTTGCAATCAAAGTGGCCGATGCCTAATGATCGACACAAGCGCATGCGATTTATGATCGTTTTAGCCGATGCCCAATGATCAATATAACAAGCAGTGTGCCAGCGATCCGCTGCCGACGTCGTTTGTTAAAATGTCGTAATCCCATGCCTCTTTTCTTGTCGAATTTTTCAACCGCTGCTTCACTGACGGTGTTGTTTCAGTGAACTTCAAATCGGCTTACATTACGCCTCTATTAAAAAAAAACCTTGACGCTTCTGATCCCAAATAATTTCGACCTCCAACCTGTCGATTTTATCAAATTCCTTGAACGCGTTGTGGCCAGACAGTTGAATAACCATCTTCAGCAGTCCGGTCTCATGCCTCGCCTCTAGTCTGCATACCGTCATCTCCACTCGACGGAAACCACCTGTGCTAAAGGAGCTTTCAGAAATACTGCGAGCACTAGACAGCGGCGACATTGCGACATTGCGACACTGGCTTGCTTAAATCTACTGTCAACAGTATTTGATACACGACCTCGTCACTTTATTGCGTAGACTTGATATATCATTCTGCCTGCGCGGCACAGTGTTGCGGTGGTTCGAGTCTTATCTCAGCAAAAGATTTCAATGCGTTCGACGCGGGAACTCTTCTATAATCTAAGGCCATCGTTGGTCACTTGCGTAGTATAGTATAGTATAGTATAGTATAGTATAGTATAGTATAGTATAGTATCGTATCTTCGGCATTAAAGAATAGGCCTGGATAGGCCTGTCGCCGATTCTTGTGTTTTTCTTCACTAGACTGGCCTTTTGATCAGATCTTTTCAACGGACGGTAGGTTTAAAATCAATTCTAGATATCAGTTGTTCCGTAGGGTACGAGGCATTTTAAGACTAAACATATGCTCCTGCATGGCCTTGTCTAGTCTTGAACGCGTTCATACTCGGAGCGTCAACAATATCTTCAGGGAGGCTGTTCCACATGTCAGTGACTCGAAGAGACAGCTAGTCCTCGGCCCGATATTTTTTCTATTATATACTGTCGATGAATTGCACATAGTTTGAATCCACATACGTGCGCCGACGATATCCAAATTTATGGCTACAGTGCACCAGCTGACGCTGCAGCGTTGCAGGACCGGATGTCTGTCTGCATGGACGCAGTCTCAGACTGGATGCGCTCCAACCGGCTCCAGCTCAATGCACCAAAAAATGAAAAAATGACTTAATTTTGTTTGAGATTTCTTGGCGCCAGCATCAGATTCCGGCCAACCCTATTCGCGTGGGCAACGAGTTCGTTATGCCTGCGTTTTCGTCATTACCATATAGATTGGACTGTGGTAATTCAACACTCTATATATATGGACTTCTGACCACGGCACTTAATAAACTGCAATCCGTAATGAATGTTGCTGCGCGAATCGTGTGCAATAAGCGAAAATTCGACCATATGACGCCGATATTGCACCATCTTCACTGACTGCGCATGAGGCAGCGCACGCAGTTCAAGCTAGGTCACTACCTGTCTCTTATACACATCTAGATGTGTATAAGAGACAGGTGCTGCGCGGCGCGGAATCAATGACCGTGATTTGCACGAACGTCTGCGCGAAAAAAATATAATTAGATTGATTTACGCGAGAAATTTCCCCGTTTATATACATCTTCCTGAGTGTGGGATGCGGACGTACGGTACATCGGGACAAGCCAGATCACCCAGATGCAGATGTACATCGAGACAAACCAGATGTGGACATACGCCGGGCGTGTGCGCCAATAATGTTATTTTAGCTCATTGTACGATGCGTTGTATGCCAGTAGAAGGGCTTGGAGCCTCGTTTACGCCGGATTAATCCACGGAAAACGGCACCATCCTGGATATGGTTAATTGATCTGTTACTCAGACTGAGACTGTTAGGATCATCAGTATAATTGGACAAAAGAACCTTAGATAAGTTATTACAAGGTATATGCAAGCTGCTGGCCCTGGCTGCCTGATTCATTTTGCTTTGCAGAAAAATCCGAGAGAAGTACAGCGATTACGGCAAAATACTTACTGCAATCAGTTCAATTCACAACAGTACTTGGGACAGTCTAGGGTACAGCACGCAAAACGTTGTCCAGTATTCAATCTGTCACTATTCACAGTCACAGTCACACATGATCGGCTGATCGCACCACCACCACCATGTTCCAAAACGGTCCAAAGTCCATACGTACAGAATGGCGATAGAAATACAGTAACTCAAAATGAATGAAAATAAATATTTTTTTATTTTTAAACTGTAAATCACTAGTTTATATTTTACGACAATTATGCTTGCATTTGGATCTTAGGATTACAAATTATTTCGATAATAATGTTCAATCTAAAAGTTTGTTATATAGTCGCTCGAGCATGGGGCCTTTTCAGAAATTTCCCTTATCATTTTCCTCAAGAATTTTTTAAACCAGAAAAAAATAAGGTTCATGAGGTTTTTCCTAATTGCTTTCTGATTTTTTGTTCCAACTATGAGTCTGGTGCCGCGCTGCATTTGCAAGCTCAAGTGTTCTTTCGAAGAACAAGAACGATCGATTCACCACCACTGAAAATCTCTCTTGTCGGTCTGCCAACGTCCTAGTACCAATGTGGCTTGCAGTGACGAACATTTAATCGAAATTAGAGAGCAACAAGTGTGATGCACGAAGTTTTCTATGTAACCAGCCCTCAGTAAGAATTGGACAATGTGCAGAATGGGTTTATCATGGTGTGTCATTGAGACGGTGTTACCACAATAAAACTATTTCCCATGGAGACCCTTAAGTATTTGAGTAACAATTTTTGCATGCATTTATTATTAATCAAACGCAATATTATAAATCATAGACTCTTATTCTGAAACTTGTAGGAGTGGTTCACTAGTGTGGAGACTGGAGGTTACACGTGACATTGATGCGTAGGTGCTAAAGAACCGTTTCGGAACTGCAATGGTTTATGTGGATCTTTTGGAGAAAATTTAAGTGGGAGAGCAGAAATGAATACATGCAGTTAATCATTTTTATCGCCTTTATTACTCATACCAGCATTGTTGTTCTGTATAGATGCTTTGATACACGAAGATTTAACGCATTTTTAACATTTTGCTTTTTTTCACAACCGCATAAATAATTAAGTAATTACTAATTATAAGTAATTAATTATTAATTACCGATTATTTATGCAATTAATTAATTTACCCGCATAATTTTTAAATGCAAAACCTCATTTAGTTTCTTCAAACCGCATAATTTCAGGTACACAAAACATGAAATTGTTTATTAATTAGCGCATATTCTATTTAGCCTTAAAAAATTGATTGAACACAGTCGATTAACCTGCCACCGACTTTTTTCCATTTTGGTCGTAAAATATATGACTATAAAAGATATTGTTGGATATCTTAAATGACCGTGCAAACATTTGACGTTTCCGCGAGCTTTTAAATATTACTCCTTTGTATGCTGCATTGCGCCTTCTTACTGAATAAACACTCGGCTTTGGATATTACCACGTTTTTTCGCGTACTTTATGAGGTCTAACTTAATAAGTTGTTCCATCAAATAAATTTAAATTTTGTGTAGAAATGGCACCTAGGACCATTTAATGTTAGCCGAGTAGGACTAATCGATCTATTTATGTGGGGTAATGAGCATTGTAATGCGCATCAGCGGTCCGGAGTGACGACTTCACGCGAAATGTAGACAACAAGAACAAGTAGACGTAGACGACTTCACGCGTCCTGCAGACAAGAAGAACGAGTAGATATCGACGTATTTAACAGTCTTGTAGACAAAGAACGAGTAGATGTAGATGTGTTTACACGTAATGCGGACAAAGAACGAGTAGATGTGGGCCACGATTCTAGCTCGAAACCAAGCTCATCACAGCCAAAATGTGCAGGTGTGATCACATGCAAGAGATGCAGCTGTTGAAGCATCTCCATATGCGCTACACGAGATGATTCACGCAGCCATGATTCATTTTGGATTCTTTTCATCCCATGGAAACCACGGACTATAAACCCTCTAGTCATGAAGTAAAGAATGGCAATGACCCACTGGCTCTGTATACCTTGTTCTTCGCTTAAAGAAATAATTATTATAGTGTCAATTGCCTTAAATTTTCTATGGTCGGAAACATGACGATTGGGTTGCAAACTATAATCATTTTATTAAGCACTCAGATATGAGCCTCCGTGAAGTGTTGCATCATCAAAAGCATTACATCATTCCAACTGCATAGGCAGGGTGGCCCAGTGGTTAAAGTTCAGAATACCAAGATTGGAGCAGAGAGGCGCGGGTTCGATCCCAGCTATGTGCGCCAGTTTCTGGTCAGACTCGGCAAGGAGGCCGGGCGGTTAAGCATAGCAGAATTGTAGCAGTGAGTTGCGAATTCAAGACAACAAAATGCTGTGAATGTTTTGCGATGTTAAGAATCGGCGACAGGCCTACGGCCTAATAACGCGGGAACCGCTATTAAAAACTCGGTGCGTGCGTGCAGCAAATGTACTCGTTTGAATCCACGCACTAACGTACTTGCAACTCCACAATGGTGATCAGTTGAAATTAATCCAAATTTAGAATATATTTGCACCTGAAGTCTCAAAACTGTTGTTGGACATACCAGTGATCGACTTGAGCTACATTCAAGAAAATGAGTCCATCGTCCGAAAAAAACTGTGCCCTTCTTCTAGCCAACCCCTGTTGTCATGACACCAACATGGCCTAACCATGTTCTCTCACACTTTCGTCGTGTGCCCAGAGAGAGAAGTAGTGCTTGTCGATCATTGTTTAACTCAATTTTATTTATTATTAATTTGAGAAAATTTTTTGCAGCGGGAAAATTGTCCCGAATTGCTGAATGAACTTGGAATCAAATGTTATCCTCAACTGCTGAGGCATCCTTAAAGGAAGTGAAAAAATTATGCATTATGAAAGTCTAAAAGTTTTCATATGTGTGTAAGCGGAAGTAAGCCCATAAGCTGGCTGACGTTATATCAGCAATGACAGCCCCTGGCCTGAAAAAAGAGTGAAAAATCAGTGACAGTGTTTAATATTATTGAATACAATGAATATTATTTTTCATAAATGCTTCATCCAATTAGTACAACAGAGAAACATTGACATGGTGGCAAAATGTGTCGCTTTGGTGCTGCGCGTTTGTCATTAGGAAACATCACAAGCAATCATTAACCAAAACAGCAATAACAGCAATCATTAACCATCGCTGAGCTTCAGTGTGTCACGGTGCTGGATCCGATCAACGAGAAGAACGGCAATCTGCCGTCACACGCATCCATGCTGCTGCCTTCGGTAAAACTCAGTTAAACATGCTTTCACTAACGTGAATTTTTAGCGAACAGTGAAGTACAATTGTTCTGAATTCATTGCATTCCAGTGAACTATTCCTAGGAAAATGACGTCATGTACATACACCACTAAATCTAAATTTCTTGACCACCAACTCGCGCATCGTATGATCTTTGTCTTTTTACTTCTAAACCGTATAAAAACGCTCATATTTATTTTTTAAGCAACCATCAATATCGCGTTCCACTCGCGACTGAATTCAAAGCGTTATCGCTAAATCTACACAAAATTATTGCACCACAATTGGAAAATGCTCAGCCTTCGTATCTTATATAATGAATTAAAACAGATAAATAACGAAACTCGGAAATTTTACAGTAAAGATTGAAGACTAATGTAAGAAAGCTCTGATAAAAAGGAATAAAATCAATCGGATCAAACTGCAGAGAAATATAGCAGTTGATTATAGTGTGTAAAACTTATTCTTCTGTATAGATCCCTCGGCCGTGCCTTTCTACGCGCACGCAACTCGTTACTCCATCATGACATTTTAAGGGGTGTTTTTCGCCGTTATAGCATTATAGTGCATAGTGATGTCAGCGCTGAAGACTATAGGCCTGATGTTAAACAAAATCTATACAAATAAAATATCCGCTATAGAACAATAACAGGAAGATACGCTGCTCCAGCTGCAAGACCACGCAGATGCAGCTGTATTCAATACATGCGACAACAGCTGAGTGCAAGCAAGTGTAGGCACATCTGTTGTGTTCCCTTCTTGGTACTCGTCGAATATATATAGGTCGCTTCCTTATATGCTTTTCTCACGCATTTGTCTTGGAATATTCGGCTAAGATCAATGTAATCAAACTGTAAACAAGGTCTCTGGTCTCAAGTTCAACGTTTCCGAGAAACGTTGCTTACGAATCTAGCAGATCAATTTTTTTTACGATTCACGACTTACAAATTACAATAATTTAAAAGCTAGGAAAAAGCCATGTAAATCCAGCATAAGTTAATTGAAAATGTTTCAGAAACCAGTTTATCAGTGATTCCTTCAAAATGGGTTTATTCTTCAGGATCCGTTAAGGGTTTATTCTAGGAATGACGTGAAGTTACTTCTCTAAGCTAAGAGCAGGATGGCAACTCTTTCATGAGACAACAATTTTCAAAGACTTCGTTTCAAAGACATGTGGAACAGTCTGTTTGCAAACATGTGGCTCCCAGCATTCCGTCGTGCTCAAAGTCTAGTAGCTTCTAACCACTAGAAACCTCTCAAGAACATCACAAGAACCTTTCAGCATTTGTGCCTCGAAATCTGACGGTGGGCGACTGTTACTGTTCAGACACTGACCGGCCATCTTGGTTTATTCGGCCATCTTGGTTTGAATCTGATCGTGGCTGGAGTGGGCGTACGTCACCAGGCACCGTTTTGATCTCGGTGGCTTGGGGGGAGGGAGGATTCTTGCTGCTCGCGTAGCTTGCTTAAACCAAGCTATGTCGATGTAACCGTGTTTTCGACCAGGGACTATATTGTGGTTTTTGTTTTCGCTATATTCAGCTTCGACTTAACTGTAGACAAGCTGAATGTGCCTAAAATCTGACTATGGGCGGCCGTTATTGTTCTTTCACCGATCGGTCAACTTAGCTTACTATAGTATAGACGTTCGTTACCCAAACTGAATCTGGCTGCTATTCTTGGCGCCGTTAGCGGTTAGCTTGCTCGACGAAATGACTACTCGGCCTCGTTTACTGGCGTTGCAGTCACCATATATCGTCCCCGATCCGTTGCTGTGGCACGTGATTTTTTCGTCGAATTGAGCGATGACTTGTGACTTTCCCCGATCATGTTCTTATCACCCGCGAAATAAACGTTCGACTAGATCGCGTCGATGACCCATCATCGCGTCAGCTGAACGACCTGCGTTCCACCTTCGGCAACGTTTGTCACGTGACCTTGCCTACGCACGATATGGGCGGACTGCTGGACGTTGTCATCACGCGTGCTGACCTTCAAATTCAGCCAGTTGACATCATCGTGATTGCAATATCCGACCATCGACTACTTCAGTGGACGGTGTCATGTGTGCGTCCGGTGCCAGCATAAAAAACCGTTACCTGTAAACCGTGGTACGTCTCGACGGCGATGCTTTACGCGAAAAACTGCAGTCGCCCTGACTAGATCGGCCTGACTCATGGTTGGCGCTGTCAGTTAACGATCTGGCGCAACTCTACAATACCGGATTAGACCTGTGCACTCGATGACCTCATTCTTGCTCGCACAGTTCGGGTAACCCAACGTATCCCCGTCTCATGGTTCGACGACGAATGTCGGGCCTCGAAGAAGAAAGTTCGAATGCCCCAGAGAGCTGTCTATCGGGCGAATGGACGCGGCAATCCTGCTACTGCAGTTGCTGTGGCCTCCACCTGGCGAGATGCGCGGGTCAATAATCTTGACTTTCTTCGATCTAAAAGAGAGTCATTTTGGCGCCAGAGAGTCGACGCGCAACGCAGCGACCTTCGGGTGCTGTGGCGTTTACTAGATAAACTTATGGGAAGAGGTCATACAGATGCTTCGGGTGTTGTAATCGTGGAGGCATTCTATGCGGTTTTTTAAAACAAAATTTCCGCTGTGCGAGCGTCGTTAGCCGATGCTCCCTCTGCAACATTAGCGCCGTGCCCATTCGACTGCGTGCTCCAATAATTCACTTCCGATGCAACTGACGATGTCATCGTTGCAGTGCTTGCGCTGCCTAACAAGCAGTGTGCCAGCGATCCGCTGCCGACGTCGTTTGTTAAAATGTCGTAATCCCATGCCTCTTTTCTTGTCGAATTTTTCAACCGCTGCTTCACTGACGGTGTTGTTTCAGTGAACTTCAAATCGGCTTACATTACGCCTCTATTAAAAAAAAACCTTGACGCTTCTGATCCCAAATAATTTCGACCTCCAACCTGTCGATTTTATCAAATTCCTTGAACGCGTTGTGGCCAGACAGTTGAATAACCATCTTCAGCAGTCCGGTCTCATGCCTCGCCTCTAGTCTGCATACCGTCATCTCCACTCGACGGAAACCACCTGTGCTAAAGGAGCTTTCAGAAATACTGCGAGCACTAGACAGCGGCGACATTGCGACATTGCGACACTGGCTTGCTTAAATCTACTGTCAACAGTATTTGATACACGACCTCGTCACTTTATTGCGTAGACTTGATATATCATTCTGCCTGCGCGGCACAGTGTTGCGGTGGTTCGAGTCTTATCTCAGCAAAAGATTTCAATGCGTTCGACGCGGGAACTCTTCTATAATCTAAGGCCATCGTTGGTCACTTGCGACGTACCACAGAGTATAGTATAGTATAGTATAGTATAGTATAGTATAGTATAGTATAGTATAGTATAGTATAGTATAGTATAGTATAGTATCGTATCTTCGGCATTAAAGAATAGTGTCTCAGACTGGATGCGCTCCAACCGGCTCCAGCTCAATGCACCAAAAAATGAAAAAATGACTTAATTTTGTTTGAGATTTCTTGGCGCCAGCATCAGATTCCGGCCAACCCTATTCGCGTGGGCAACGAGTTCGTTATGCCTGCGTTTTCGTCATTACCATATAGATTGGACTGTGGTAATTCAACACTCTATATATATGGACTTCTGACCACGGCACTTAATAAACTGCAATCCGTAATGAATGTTGCTGCGCGAATCGTGTGCAATAAGCGAAAATTCGACCATATGACGCCGATATTGCACCATCTTCACTGACTGCGCATGAGGCAGCGCACGCAGTTCAAGCAAGGTCACTGTTCTGGCGTTCCGATTCCTTCAGGGTCTGGAGCCTTCTTATCTAAAGTAATGTCTTCAGCGCGTTTCGGATCTTTCTTCTAGAAGACGACTGCGCTCGTCATCAACAGTGGACCTCGTTGTTCCATCTACTCGTTTATCTACCGTCGGCGACAGAGCGCTCCTGGTCGCCTCCGCCAGAACCTGGAACAGTCTACCGGCTTCCATAACATTGGCTCCTTTGTTGCAGGTGTTTCGTCAATGCCTAAGGACGGAACTATTTAGTAGAGCCAAGGAATCAAGTGCTTAATCATATTTATCCGTTCTCATCCTTTCTCACATCTCGCATTTTTGCTTGCAATTAAACTTATGTGTAACTTGTCCTCGAAGTTCGTATGAACCAGACGCCACGATAACTGCTTCTCAGGATAATAATAATCAGGAACAGCCCTAACATTAGACGCTGAGACTACTATGTTATACTAACCCTCTAGGTCTCCCAACGAAAAGCTGTGTATCAATATCTCAAATGCTGTGTATCTGTGGACAACTGATTATGCACGATCGAGAGTGCTTGGAGACTTAACTGACCACTTCCATGAAGGTGACGCTGAGCGAGCTTGGTAGCGAGCCCCGCACGCCGCTGTCTATAACGCCCACGTCAGCCATGTCGCAGCACTCATATTGGTCGGTGGGTCGCGGCTCTCAGCAACCGTTCTCCCTCGATCACGGTATGTTATGTGCCCTGTCAGAGATCCATAAGATCAAAATTAGTAGTTTTCTTCGGTATGACTGTCATTAGTAGGGAGTACAGGCAAAAACTGGTCATCCTTTAGTCAAATAAGCCTGTATGAAGTTGGGCCCGAAAGCAGTGGATAACGCCAAAGCTTACTTAACACTTGAAAACCATTATAAAAATCCTATGGGTCAAGTTTTGACCGCCGTTAGATATGAAAATTAATGATCAATACTAATTATGGGGCTAGTTGCCTCTTAGCGAGTATATAAACGATTGTGCTCGAAATGAACACCATGCACTCTGCCCGATCAAACGATTTCGCTTTATTTTGGACGCACAACCTACAAAACGCACAAAATAAAAGTATTAATGGGATTCAAATATAATAAATGATCCCTAGACAATCTTTGATGGCCAAATGGTGATGTTACAGACCGTTCAGACCCTTTTCGCGCCATGGTCTTCCCGCCGCCCTACGACTTGCCCCCCAAGTACGCGACCATGTACTCCGTCGCCTCTCCCACCCACCGGTGGGTGCCGTTACTTATCCCTTCATATATTTGTGCATTCGTCAGTTTCTCTAATATTTACTAGTATTTACATCATAATTTATACATGAGATGACAAATGCATTGAATCCATATGTCCCCCTCTTCATAGGGAACACATGGCCAGCTTTACGTCCACGTGTAGGCGGTCCAACAGCAGGTCAATGGACCCTGAGGGGTCTATGGGACCAGACTCCTTTACTTGCAGGTCCCAAACCAGGTGAGTCCTTCAACTGTATCAATTGTTCAGCCAAAGGAAGATGTATTTCACCTATTTTTACTCTCAAATTAGGTTAAATTCATTATTTAGTGCACTTTCTTTTCATAGTGTAAACGGACAAGCACCGAAGCCAGGACGGGCGCGGACACGCCAGTTGCCGTCACGCCCCAGAGACTCTAATATCGACAGCGACAGCAGCCTGTCGAGCATCAAGGCAGCCAGCAGCAGTACGTCCAGGGACCCATGCGTTGTCGAAGGAAGGCGGCTACTCGTGTCTAGTTTGGGCTACAGCAGCCCCAAAGTCCTGAACCCTGCGCTGGACGAGCTCGATGTGAACGTCAACAAGACAAAACACGCGATCTGTCGCAGGAAAAGTGTGCACGAGAAAACTGTGCCCTCACAGGCGAATAAATATGGTAGAGAGTCTGCCAAATGGGACAATCAGTCGCCGATACTAGCCAGTAGGGCGAAAGTATCTCGGTATGGAGCTGATCAAAACACGAACATGACTTTAAGTACAGGGTTCAAAATCGAACAAATGCCACTGTTGACAAGCACCAATGGCAGCAGTAGAAGTCGTAGCAGGAGTCGAAGCAGTTCTCACTCACGACGAGTCAAGGAACAGATGGTGAGCAGCGCTCCAGAATCTGATTTAATACAAAATTTGGGCATTGCCACGGGTCTAAGTGCTGAGCCAAGGAAAACAATTTCTATGGTCACTACAGGAAAGGAGGAAAACAGACCAACTTCGAAACCCCTTGGGGCCGAAGGGTTAATCAAAGAATCTGAAAGTTCCACCCTTCCTCCAGAGATGGAGGTCAGCGAGAAGAAAGTTCAAGAACCAAATGTAGGAAGTTTAGGAGCCGTGGAAGTGGAACTGAAATACCAAGCAGTGCAGCAGCAGCTTGTCGTGACCGTCATCTCGGCATTGAGTCTACCCGTCCGGTTCCACAACCCAGAAACCAAACTATACGTCAAGGTAAAGTTCTAAATTAATTAAAAACTTGAATGGGTTTATTTCAATTTAAGTAACCACTAATGAATACTTTTTTTTTCTGCTAATTCATCTTGCTGGAATTATACCATTTCAAATGAAAACTCAGGAGTTTTTGCTCTAGTTTATAGTTGACACAAAAATTATATTGAAGATAAATTAATGGAGGGGGCGAAAGGGCGAGGGATAAACAGCGTGTAAACAGGGGGTTTTCAAAGCTTAGGCTGAAACTTGTAAAATTTAATGAAGACCAAAAAGATTGCCTGTACCGCCAGGTGCTGATAGGTACCAGCACCCGGTACACCACGCCTGCGGTGCCAGGTACCGAGAGCCCCAACTTCAGCTGCACCCTGGCGCACCGCGTGCCCTCAGCCTGGCTGTCCCGCACACCGCTCAGACTCTCCGTGTGTCAGGTGATGGACTGTAGCGTGACGTGTAGCAGGCACCCGCAGTTCAGACTCTCCGTGTGTCAGGTGATGGACTGTAGCGTGACGTGTAGCAGGCACCCGCAGCTCAGACTCTCCGTGTGCCAGGTGATGGACTGTAGCGTGACGTGTAGCAGGCACCCGCAGCTCAGACTCTCCGTGCGCCAGGTGATGGACTGTAGCGTGACGTGTAGCAGGTCACCCGCAGCTCAGGCTCTCCGTGTGTCAGGTGATGGACTGTAGCGTGACGTGTAGCAGGCACCCGCAGCTCAGACGCTGAGTATTCATGATGTATGCAAATTTCTGATTTAGACCGTTACTTAATCGCGAATTCGGCACTAGTTATGAATTTTATGACTAGAAATTAAAATTTCATTTATTTTAATATTATTTTGATCACCATCACAGTCGTATATACTCACTTGAAACGTTCAGGAAAGTAGAAGATTGGGCAATTGAGATTAGACCTCATAAATGTGATTAAATGCCACACGACCGACTGTAACTTCTGCTCAGTTTGACGGAATAATAATTATTTCTTTTAGATTGACGGCCAAAACCGTCGTGTTGTGGTTGGTTACGCAACCGTGAACCTGGCAGAATTGTGGCCCATCCTGCACCTGAACACACGCATAAGCCACAACCTTACCACTCACCGCCTCATCTTGCCGCTCAGCGACTCCACGCCGCAGCATCAGGTGCTTTAAATTTTTTGAAACAAAATTCAAGAAATATTTGTAGCATTTTGACAAATTAACAACGAGAAGGAAGAGAAAATGCATCGGAAATACAGAGCATAGATATTTCGTTTAGACATCAAACTGCGCCGCAGCATCAGGTCGTCTTGGGATTAGTACGAGTCAAAAGAAAATTTTCTAGGAATTCTGTTGGACTTGATACACAAACAAGAAACAAATTCAAATATTTATTTATTTTGGAATTGATCTCAAGGACGATCGGTACAAAGCTTGAAGAAGCCGGCGCCCATCCAAATTAGAACGAGACGAAGTTCCAGAATAAGAGGTTGGTAGATGCCATAATAAAGGTTCGCCGACCTTAAGGGGGGGTATACCCTCCAGAAAAACTCACACATTTACTAACGTAACATACCAATCGAGTGAGACCATACCAATCGAGCCTGATTTTTTATTTTTGCCTTAGTTTTTTTTCTCACGCATTTTTTCGTTTTCTTCTCATTTTCTTCAAATTTTCCCCCCTCCCCCAATTTTGAATCCAAACTATGCACAAATCTAAAAAAGGGGCTTCGTTACTCGATAGGTATGGTCTTTACAAATCGAATGGTATAGGTCTCATCGCTGTAGCTTCAGAACTCTAGGAGGAGATAAGTTTTCCGTGACAATAACTGAATGTTCAGGAGAGCGCGACAAAGTCATGCCCGCATCGCAATAGGCACTCAATGTAGCAAGGATACGAAACTAAACGTTTCTGGAACTTGATTCCACTCAAGGATGGTGGGAGCGACTACATGCGCACCTCTTCATACAATGCCAGGCGGTTTACTGAGCTGCACCTCAAGCAAACACTGTATTTATAGTGTATATGACACTGGTATACAAAAACTCGTGACAAGATACGACAAATGCTTAAATTTGTCCGGAAATTATGTAGAGAAGTAGTGTAATACATGTTCTTTTCAATAAACATGTTTACATTTGTTAATATTCACTTCCTTCTGTTCAATTCCCAAACGGGTAGGTACTACTTTCCGGATGCCCCTCGTATAACAAAAATATTAAACATTTTAGTAGTTAAAAATGATTTCAATCTTATGACGCAATGACATTACACACCATTGACAATAAGGAGCATCTCGGAATTGCACATTTGTAGTCGCTGAAGGTCCCCCAAAAGATCGAACGAAGCGTCGCAACAGATATGCAGGAATTCTATGGCAATGAAACAGAAAATAGCCGCTGAATAATGGGGAAAAGTGACAGGTGAACGTGCCTAATATTTGGTCTCACTTTTTCAGTATTGTAACCGTAATGTAACAGCCTCACACCCACCTTAAAGTTTTGTACCACCAAGCTCCAAGCAGTTAAGCAGTAATATTAAGAGGCAATAAAAGAGGCCATATAAAGGGAAATCATGAAATTAGAAGTAAGGGCAGACTTTAATTTATATTAGTTGATTATTAGAAAGAACTAAGCCTCTCCATTAGGTAAGGAACATACAATTTATAAAGAGCCAAAGCTCCAAAGTTTAAGTGGTCATATAGAGTAGAGGGCGATGTCCAAGATTTGATTTGGAGTCGGCCCTCTTCTAATTAAGGAAGAGCGAACATGCACGTAAGAAAAATAAATTAAACGAAAAGCAAAGCGTGATCACTCAAAGTAATAAATAGCAATTAGGAAGGTAGGCCTATGGCTTTACACACTCCTACCGGAGCAACATTGATTAGACGCTTTCACCTCTAAGTCTTACTGCCAACTATTACTATTTGCAAATTCATACGCAACAATAGGTATGAAGAAAAAGAAATTTAGATCCTAAGGAATGTGAAAATTTCTAACAATTCTACCAAAATTGATAATTAAATAGTTCAGAAGAGGTCATGGTGTCTTCCAAATAGTGCTCAGAAGACTTTTCTCCACGTGGTTTTTCACTGTAATTGATGAAACGAAATGAATCATGTATCTCTTCACGATACATTACTTTGTATTCATTATCTTAATTAGTTGTGCTTTGTCGGGGCAGCTCGCCTGCGACGGCAACATCACCTTCGGGTTGAAGAGGGACTGCAGTAAGGTGACGGTCTCCAGCGTCACTCTGCAGGACGTGCGCAGTTCTGCCAACCTCGACATAGGCGAGTGAAGGGGCAGCCAAAATAAGACATTTTTTGGGATTACCTAACGTGATTTATGGATCAGTTTCGACGCTCAATGCTTGGTATAACCGCCGTGTGTGTCATGTCCGCAAACGAAAATTTAAATATTTTTTACGCCTGTCAAGTGACATACAATTTGAGAATCATTTCGGACAAATGTATGATTTGCGCATTGTTTGAAGAAATTCACGGAATAGGTCGCCCATAATTATTACCAGTAAGTTTAAAAAATGAGTCATATCATGTTAGCTTGGGATCAACTGCACTTCTTTTACAGGGACAATTTTTGCAAGAAATTTAGTAATAGTTATTGTTGCATTTCTGTTCAACTTATTTCAGTGATTTTTCTTATTAGTGTAAATATCTGTATAAAACATCACATAGAGCACCCAACTGAAGTATCTACTTTGTTATTCCATGCAGGGAACTGCCTGGTCTATCTCAAGGCTTCCGTTTATCAGGGCAAAGAAATAATTTGCTGGCGGAGAAGTCAACCGGTTCTTTTGAACCGCCAGCGAACCCATTTAACTCACGAGCTCGAGTTGAAAATCGATCCTAAACTAGGCGACGTAGCCGCTCATTCTAGCAGCGAACCAAGCGCTGACCTCTCAGGTGCATCACAGGGAGCGGCGGAAGCTTCCACTTCAACATCGGACAAAAACTTAGACTCGCCAACACAACAACATTCGGAAAACGAACCTCGGGAGTACCAGAGTGGTACCGGTGTTGAAACGTCTGACGATATCCAAGACAGATTAAAGGAACAATGCGACCAGGCGTCACTTTCAGAGTTCATGGAGGGCATTATGAGTGAGAAGCTCAAGAGTTTATCGGAGGCCTTGGAAGGAAAGACGTTACAGTGTCAGCAAGAGCAGGCTGACCAAGAGAGCTCGTCGACCCAGATGCTGCTTGTGCTCAGCGTTCGTCTCAAGACAGTCAAGCGTAAGTACTGATGTCGATTCTACACTTCTTTCCCGCCATTAGAAATTAACTTTTAGAACTTGAAATTTATTCTTTAGCTATCATCAAATTCTTGATTGAATACTCTTTTGAGTACTATGGCTATGGGAAGTAGACAGATCGATAAACCATTTAGATATTACGGATGTAAACTGTACGGATTCTTGTGACGAAACATTAATTTTCTAACTAGATTTATACGAAACAAGCATAAGAACCTTTATAAAGAATAAATTTAACTGAATGTTAAATTCTATTCGTGAGAAAATGTCACAATGAGATGATAGGTGAAAGTCCTCCGCCGCCATCTTGTACATTGTGTTTTACTCGCGCTAGAATATAAATAATAGAATAGGGACTGTGCACAGGAGGAGGTCGGTGCATCCTGGGGACCATCCAGCTGGGGGACGCCGCCCCGACCAGCCAGGGACGCTCCCACTGGCAACGCGCCGCTGCCTGCACAGAAGTGCCTGCTGCCGGCACCCATCAGCTCACCCACAGCAGTGGGTGAAGTGGCACCACCTGCCACCCACGCCTGAGGGTGACGTGGCACCACCTGCCACCCACGCCTGAGAGTGNTACACATCTAGATGTGTATAAGAGACAGGTATACGATAGTGCCGTCGTGAATAAATACTTGTCCTCGCGAGAATTCTCTCAGATTTTCACCAGCGAACCAAATCCGAATTCTCGGCCTACGACTTCACGTCAGTAACTAATTATTGCTAGAGCATGTCATTATTATGGCGATTGTAAATGTTGAATTTGCTTACAAGCGAACATGAAAGCTGTACAATCGGTATATCTTTGTTAATTGTACAGCGAGTTATCTGCTTCACTAAACCCGCTCTTGTGTGCACGTTCACTTAAGTCATCGCTTCAAGATTCTGATATTTATATTGACCTATAATCTAGTATTTATTTAATGTCTAACCTTGCACACTTTTCTGTTTGCATGTGCTCTCAACAGTAAGAGAACATGCTAAGCTTTCGACTTAATGAATATCAAGCAGTACACAAAATGATTGAGCAGTGATTGTTAATAGTGCAAAAAATTTTTTGCAAGCTCTCGTTCCTTGACGCAGCGTTGCAATATAATATTACAGGTTCACCAATTAAAATGATCTTGTAATTGAGCTCTAGTGCCGGATCCCGATAATACATAGATGATGAAAAACTGAACAGGGATGTGAAATTCCCATGGTAACAAACGTGATCAAAGTAATTGATGCCACCATGAACAGAGGACTACTACTTATCCTTCCCAAAAGTCGTTGCAAACTCGGTTAAGCAAAGGAAATTTTGGTTCCAAGGCCTTCAATGTAAGTTAGTGTAGGGTAATAAAAGATATTTTAGGAAAAAAGTTCATTGTCTTGAGGGCAGTGCATCGGTTAGAGACACTTGCTCCATCTCTGGAGCAATGTATACAGCAATGCTACGACAGTAATTCATCACAAAGTTATCGCTTCAGCCTTAACGCATAAAAAAATGAGCATAAGCATCAAACATCAGAATAATAACTTAAAATTTGCAGTCAGCGCAATGGGAAAAATTTGCCAGTAGCACAAATTAATAGTGGCGTTGAAATGATCGAAACTCAATAGTGTGGAAATGACCACAATTTACAATCATAGCCAATTTAATTTAACAATCATGTCAATAACTCAGCACGATTTGATTTGTACAGAGGGAACGGAGTTCCAGAAGGGAAAAGAAACGTGGCTGAACTCGGTCCACTGAGGGTAGCACTAGCTGCCAGGTCTTCATTTGTGAACAGCATTGACGACGGGTAAAATATATGCAGGTGAAAGGCAAAGAGGAAGCAGAAAAGTAACACAAACGCGCGTCGTGAGCTGAATGACCAGGCAGGGGGGGGGGGTGTATACTCCCATGAGTATACAGGCTGACGTCACCCACCGTCCATGGAGCTCTTGAATGAAACTGCGCCACTAACTCATTGATATTCCTATTGTAAACAATGTATATGACTACGTATGACCAAGCATACGTATTGTCATATGGAAGTTTCAAATACTTAAAGAATACGAATATTGATGAAGTGGAGACATAATGCTGGGCTGGTTGACTCTGTGGAGTCTCGACTAACTCCATCCTCCAAACCTGCAGAACTTCTAGTATTATTCTTGGAGATCTATTCGATCACTCCCTCGTTTATAGATGATTTCATAACCTCAAATTTTGATTCCATCTCACAATTGAATTGTACTTGAGCGCAATTCATACATCAATGAATCAATATGAAATCACATTTATACACTTAAGGTCCCACAACCTGTCCTCCAGTACAATATTGTTCCTTAAAAAATCAAAACGAATAAACCAGCGCAACGCTGTTGTATTTAGTTATCAATGTCGTGGTATTGATGATAATTAATCTAAAAGATTAATTATCATCAATATGTTAAATTACTCAAAACTTCGAGCCCTTCCTGAGCCTTTAGAGATGCAGCATGGTACGTATATTGAAGGTTAAATTAAGCATGTACATGCATTAGGTTGCCGCCAAGCAAGTTGCAGTCACTACCTATTATCCAAACGGCCGAATATATTGTAAATAACAAGTACTAATCATGAATTCAGCGTCAGGAGAATTTGAAAGAAAACAATGACAGGAGAGGAATCAACTGTAAATTTAAGCGCGTCTAGCGATCCAAAAATATAAAAAATACTTATGTAAAAAGCATGCTCATAGAAATAATGAAGTAACACCATTCAAATAGTGTTATTTGAGTAACATTATGACACAATTTCTCAAGGCAAAGAAAGTATGGGTGACGTAAGAATGCGTCACAGTGAAAGCATGACTTTGTTAACCAACAACTAGCTACATCAATACATTATAAAGCGCAATAACGCGCACGCAAAATGCTTCAAAATGAAGCATCCAAATTGTTTTCAAAAAGATGCAGGTAATGCTAAATGCCACCAAAGCTGATTGCAAATGAGAAAGCAATTGCAGGCCATACCCAACATTAGAAGTTCGTTAAAATCAATAACGTTGCTAGAGGGAAGTTTGGGCAGCCTGAATGGCTATTTAACTCCACAAATATTCAATAAATTGGCTGGCAAAAACGAAAAAAGAGCCATGGGACATACAATAGCAAACTGTGTTTGCTATTGTAACCATCACAACCAGTCGTGAACAAAGATCAGGCCAATGGAACCAGTAAGAAACAATGACGGAAAGCAATGTGATACACATCGATAAGAATAGAGGTGTGAACTTGGCACACGAAGAACATGTTGCATTCATCACTTAACAACATAGACATTGCAGCACAATAAGCTAACATGTAAAATGTCATATTTACCTATACTTTCCCTAACACTAATTATGAGCAAAAATTATTCGTTAACTCCATTGCCTTGTTCTTTATAATTTTACAATGAAAAATGTCATGTTTTCTGATGTTTTAGAACATGTCTTATTCACCCTGTGGAATATATAGTCAAATTATTTCATCATTGATAGGTACATCCACATACAGCCACAAGGCTGGCAAATTTAACAATATAAAAATTGATAGATCTTCGCATGAATGCTTAGTACACGTACATTCTCAGAACTCGGAGAATTTTTTGTTACATTACCATATAATGAACGACAGCAACATCAACATACAAACATATTTGGGCCAAAAACAACAACTGAAGTGAAGTTAGTTGACACTGAGCCTAATGGTTCTGACTACTTAAAAGGTATATTATGAATTGGTGAATGATGCATGTAATGGGTGCATGATGCATGTAATGGGTGCATGATGCATGTAATGGGCGCATGATGCATGTAATGGGTGCATGATGCATGTGATAGGCGCATGATGCATGTGATAGGCGCATGATGCATGTAATGGGTGCATGATGCAAGTAATGGGTTCATGATGCATGTAATGGGTGCATGATGCATGTGATAGGCGCATGATGCATGTAATGGGCGCATTATGCATGGAATGGGCGCATTATGCAGGTAATGGGTGCATGATGCTGTAATGGGTACATGATGCATGTAATGGGTGTATGATGCATGTAATGGGCACTTGATGCATGTAATGGTGGGATGATGCATCTAATGGTTTTATGGTGCATCTAATGATTGCATGACGCATTTAATGGTTGAATGATGCATCTAATGGTTGCATGATGCATGTAATGGTTACATGATGCGTTAAATGGTTGCATGATGCATCTAATGGTTGCATGATGCATTTAATGGCTGCATTATACATTTCATGGTTGAATGATGCATGTAATGAATGCATGATGCATGTAATGGACACATTAATGCCTCTAATGGATTTGATGAAAGATAGAACATACGGTTATTCATAAATTATATGATATTAACATATTATTTGGTATGATTGATATTACAAAATTACAAGTCAAGAGATCAAAAAATATTTTGTACTTTTTGCTAAATAAATAAAATTAAATGGGAAACAAACACATCAAATACATAGTTTCAAATTTTCAGTCCTCTTATATATAAAAGACAAGCCAACACTTTCATAAAAATGAGCATGTAAGGCAATCCAGAGTCCAAAGTTGTTCAACCAACTGAGCAGAAATCCAAAACAATGAATTGTGAACGTCATGGCTTAGAGACAGACACTTGAAATTCTTTGAGCAGTTCGATGTACTCCATAGCTTGTGATTCAGTCCTGCGCTTAACATAAAGCTCAATTGACATGTCTTGGATCTTCTTACAAAATTCTTTGTCCAAACCATAAGAACCTTCACTGTTGAGTATCTCATCAAGATCAATATCTTTGATGAGCTCAAGATTATCAAGATTCAAGAGAGCTAATGCGGCAGGATTGTTTTGTAGTTCAATGAACATGTGTATAGTATGATGAGCCACAGCAGGAGCAGCATCAGTAGTGTCTGAAGAGTCAATTGGCAAGTCTTGCATGCCACTCAAGAAGTTAGGGATTGGCACTGGTGCCGGCACCCAGCACTCATGTTCTTGGACAACCATCAGGCGCTTCTGAGCCTCTACTGCCTCCCAGAAAGTCTCGTCCACTAGAGTGCCATCTTCTTCTAACACAACTGAGAAATTCTGCAAGAGAAAGGAAATACATGGAATACTTACTGAATGAAATATTTATGAAGAATGTGCAAATTAAAATGAGATTAATATAATTTTAGCTGAAACTGCAAAGACAAATCTAGGTAATTGGAAAAAATTTGAGCAAATTCTATTTCAAATTCAAGCAATCAATAACACAAGTGCCTTGTCAGACTGTTAAGTATGGCCTTTTAGCTCAAGTTATTGGTGTTTTTTGAAGTTCTTCATCAAACCATCTTGACTTTCAATTGGCCTGCAAGACAATTATATTGATCTGGCATGGAATAGAATATATCAACTGTTTAACCAGCAATTATAGCTTTCCCACCACTTCAGAGCCCTGAGATTTCCCCTGGATGAATTGTCTCATGGGTCATGGTCTAACAATGTCAGACAATGGTCTAACCCTTGGGAAAGGGTTAGACCATTGTCTTGGGTCCATGCCAAGTGGTCTAACCCTTTCCACCATCATGGTCTCAAATTTCCTTCAAATTTTAACTGTAGCACTAGTGAAGTGCTAAACTAAGTTTTCCAAAATATTAGGCCTCTAGCTGCAATAGTTGCTGATCTAGACCCCCTTTTCTGAAGGGTAGTCAATCCAAGTGCATGCAACATTGAACAAAATGCCATTTTTGGGGTCTAATAAAGTAGAAACTAATTTATAAAATGGCTAGTAAAATGAGATCCTGTACAGCTTTTGTGCCAATTTTGATAAAATTACTTTTAACATTACTGATGAAAAATTCAGCCAAACAAGTTGATTCAAATGTACCTCAAAATTTGTCGTGACTTGACGCAACAAATTTTGACCAGTATTTAGACTGCAAAAATTTCCTTTCAGATCAAGATATGGAATTGAACTTTTGAACAAGCTTTATGTTTGTTCTGGACATAATACAGCCAGATTTTCAGCCTCCCAGACCCTATAGCTGTCATGCAGGATCTCTTCAAATTTGGAAGTTTCAGCACAAATGGTAAAATTTACCAAAGTTCAAAGCCAGTTACGGTACTAAAAAATAGTCAGCCCAAATCTGCTTGTGAATAGTATCATCTAAAAGAGAAAATCTTGCTCTACAATACTGGTGTACATACCTATTCTTTTTTTTTTGCAATGCGACCATTAAGTATATACTTTATTTACTACTCATTTACTCAGGTCAAAATATGTTATTTTTTGTATGCATGATATGCTAATTTTTCTTTATTTCCAGGAATTTGAATCTTAATAGTCACTTATAATTAGTAATATAATTTTATATTCATTTGTATATTATTCATTGATTGGTCAATCATTTATTGTGCATTGTTATCAATTAGATTGTGCCACCGTGATTATGTGAATATTGTAGCTTAATAAAATGTAATAAAAAGTATTTATTATCTGTTTATCATTAACCAAAATATGGGCTTAACCAATGTTATTGTTAGGTATGCCATATTTTAAAGTCTGGGACTGCCTTGTGCTACTGTGGCTACTGGCTATCAAGTAGCAGCTGATCTTTCAACAACTGATAGCTGGAGTGCTGGACATATGATAAGCTGGTCAACAGTAAAAACAATGAAACAATATAATTAATATTAATCAATGGTCAGAACAATGATTTCAAAAATTTTTGTGATCACCATGTAAAATCTACAAGCTGCTTTGGTCAGAAAGTTGCAATTAAGATTTCTTAATTTATTAGGTACTGAGTGAATGAATTATTTGTATTGAAAGTTATTGACAAAAATGACTTTGAGGCTTAAGATTAGTCAGTAGTCACACCACGTCAAAATTAAAACTAATATTTGTTAACAAAAAACTTGCTACATACACAGAAGACAAAGATAAAGAAAATCTGGACATACCTTACCACCTAGAGAAAATTTCAGGTCAATTTTCTCTTGAAGCTGCTTCCAACTGTCAGCAACAATGCCATACCTCAATTTTCTATCACAAGACCAAACTCGAACAGGTTTTTTAGAGTTCAACTCAGATGTCATTTCGTCAAATTAAAAGCAATCGATAGTTCGATAGTATAAAAACGAACCGCCTATTAAGCTATTTACCTACGTTACGTTAGGCTACGGCGCTACGCAATGACGAATAACTTGAAAAAAATCACTATTTTATAAGAGCTAGAAGCTGAGAAGTATACTTATTTCATATAACCAATTAAATTTGGTACTATTTCTTTTTCCATAAATATATCATCAATAGGTAATAACCCAGCAATATGCGCATTTACTCAACTAAACACACGGCATTGCGTCACGGCTAAGTGCTGGCTGCAGACTGCAGCAGGGTTGCCAGTCTAATGCCAGATGGAGCCGAGAGAAAAAGGCCAATTTAGCTAACAGAAAAGGCCGTATTCTTTTCCGTATCAAATAAATACACTTGATCCAGTTCGATTCATTTCCGATCTTGCATTTTCCTCACTGTGCGGGCAACGTACGGCAGTTACCCCACAGAATATTTATACGTGAAAATGAAATAAATGCGAACTAATTTCTGCGGTATTTTATCACAACTTTTGAATGCGTAGAAAAAAATGTTGCCTATCATAATTCGGAGAGGAATAATTATATTTATTCAAAGTGAAATTTGGTAGTAACTCACACCAGAAGGCTGAATGTATGGAGAAACAGCGCTGTAAACTCAAAAATAAATACTGAATTTACTACTCTTTAGTCTTTAGGAGTATAAACTATACTCGAATATCCGCGCTGTCAGCTCTGCCATCCGCGGTTATTAATACGGATCGGCAACTGGATATAGTCTCATGGGCCCGTATGCTAAATAGGGCACTAGCACTACGAAGTAGCACTATGCACTACGAAGTGTCCTGTTGGTATGCTAAATACGTCACAGACACTAAGCACTTCGAAGTAGCTCTACAATGTTTAGTGTCGAACTACTGATTCTTAAGAATAACATGTTGTTCACTGAAGCGGGACACTTTTTTATATTCATGGCATGCTGTTCCTGAGGTTTTTACGCGATGATGCCTTTGCTGTAACCCAAACAGATCCATAGCTGACGAAGTAAACAAGGTGAAATATACCGTAGTATCGTCGTGAAGTGCGGTGTGTAGGACACTTCAGATTTTTGTAGTGCGCGTTATGCTTTTGGCCCTATTTAGCATACCAACCGTAGTGTTCCATGCCGCACTATGGCTTGTAGTGCGTAGTGCTACTTCATAGTGCTAGTGCCCTATTTAGCATACCAACCGTAGTGTTCCATGCCGCACTATGGCTTGTAGTGCGTAGTGCTACTTCAAAGTGATAGTGCCCTATTTAGCATGCCAACCGTAGTGTTCCATGTCGCACTAGTACCGCACTACGGCTTGTAGTGCGTAGTGCTACTTCGTAGTGCTAGTGCCCCATTTAGCATACGGGCCATGGTTTAACGGTTTAACCAAAGTGTTGCCCGGATTAAGGCGGCACTCGCCAGTGTTGCCACCTAAATCGAAGTGCTGACACACTTACGTGTCGAAATTTTAGTGTACTCGCCTGGGGCAAAACTACCATTGGGTGTACTCGTCTTGGATAAAATTGAAGGACCAAATTATCACCAAAAAAAAGCCGAGAATTACATTTTTCCCAAAAAGGCCCCAAACGGACAAAAAGGCCAAATGAATTTTTGTCAGGCCAGTGCATTTCAAAAAGGTCACATCTGCGAAATTTGGCCTGAAAAAGGCCCATTTGGCAACACTGGGCTGGAGAAAGAGTTGGCGGGTTGAAGGTGAGGAAGTCACGCGATGACCGCATGAAATTAATAACGCCTGCTGGACTCAGCAATGATTATTTGGTTCAAGTCTTCATATTGTTTCTTTCAGTTTCATTAATGTCTCTGCAGGCACTTGCTCTCCAGGTCGTCAGCAATACAGAGAAGTGACAAACTGCCGCAGGTGCTTTTTGAGATTTTTTTTATTATTTCTTCTTACAGGAGCACTGCTGGACTTCTTGAGCAATGAAAGTTTTGAGGGAGAACCGGAGAAATTTTGAGTTGTCCAATGTTCAGTCGTCTGATTGGTTTAAGCATGGGTATAACGAGATTGAATGTTAATAATTAACATTGAACAATAAATGTTCTTTGATCTGGCAAAGTACAATAGCCTAGGAACGATGTAAGTAGAATGTCTTGATTTGTATGCATAAATGGTAAAGAGCATAGTACAATGAATATAGATCAAAATTATTTGTGTGTAAACGAAATTTTTCATAGAATGCTTTTGTGCATAAACTTTGTTAAAAGTTGTCACGAGCTAAACATCACCGTTCAGTATTTTAGGATAAATTCAATGCTCACTGCGAATTTAAGCACGAATTGCTATTTAAATCACGAATGATGTAAAAGTGAAAAAAACTCGCAAACGAAGGCAAAATTTAAAAAAAATTGTCACGAGCTTAACATCACCGTTGGGGGGGTTAGGTTTCTATATGCAAAGTTTCGTTCAGATCTGTACAGTAGTTCAGAAGAAATGTCATGCTCACTGCAAATTTCGGCACGTATCGTCATATAACTCACGAATTAAGGTGAAATTCCATAAATGTTCACGAGCTAAACATCACCGTTAGGTCCTAATGAATACGTGTACCGAGTTTTATCGAGCTACGTTGATTACTTTGGGAGATATTCCATGCTCACAGTCACTGAATATGGGGAGACCGGCCGCAAGTCCGGCCGTAAATTTGTCCGAGACGTCTGCTGCACCTAGCCACCTACTCAAAGCTAAGCGAATTTTACTTGAGACAGGGGCCCCGTCACGTATTATCACTTGGCGGCCCTGTCGAAAGCTTCCCAGTTTATTTTTTTCTTCATTTAGAATTTACACGACTTGAAATTTCCAATAAGCAATTACTGCACAGATTTCAACGAAAATTCTATAGTTGGCCGTAAATTTACTTGTTGCTCGTGTTAAGTTCCTGAGAAACTTTTCGTTTTCAATTCGGTTATTTGGTTATATGGCTATGAAGATTCAAATGGCCAATGACTCGAATGGCTCAATGGCCAATGATTAATGAGTAAAAATTCTTGGTGATTATGACTAAAATTTTAATATTGTAAACTTTATAATCAAATTTTTTTTATTATTATTAGCTGAACTATTGATTATTATAGTGTAGCGTTGAAAAAGATTTAGGAGTTTATGTCGACAAGGAGCTAAAATTGTCTACGGTAGTGAAACGCAAGCTATTCGATAAACTTCTTGGACTGATCAGACGCTGTTACGAGTTCCTAGATGCAGAAGCGATGAAGCTGTTGCTTGTCGTAGTCGTGCGCCCGAACCTAGCTAGAGTTTGGAAACGCCGAGTGGTCACCGAAGCTTGACACGGACAAAAATTTTGTAAAGAGTTGTAGTTGCTACCGTATGAAATTGACCGCGGGACCGTACTTTTGTTGAAGTGAAGTGATGTAAGAAACGTGGTCGGAAGTTATACATGCAGCTGCACGGTGAAAATGATGCCAGCGATGCGATTGAGAACAATAATGTACATCAGTACATGCCATAAATAGCCTATTAGTATTAGGTATAAAAAATATTCTTTCGAGTTATCAAGTTACTATTGCACCCAGACGACTATTAGTCTATTACTAGTATGTTCAAAGGAAAGGTTATGTTGTTGTTTCCAGTTTGTAGGTGAGGAAGTAGTCGCGCAGTGACCTCTTGTTACACCTGGACTCAGGCACTCAGCAGGTTTAATTTTGTTTCAATGACATCTGGAGGCTTCATCAATTGGTCCTGCAGTTATATTATAAGAAAAGGTTAGATTGAAATTATATTATATTATTAATAAAATGTTCAAAAAGGTAGTAATAGCTTCATGCATATTGTCATTCGAAAATTCTGTACATTTTTCACAATGATAATTTGTTTATCAAGGTGACTGTCAAAAATTTTAAGTGGTGTTCGACAGCATGTATAAATGAAAACAATCCGAAATACTATATTGAAAATTGGACGGCAGCGCGATTAAAATTTTCAAATAAGGTAGAATATGCCAAAGTTTTTGCTGGTAAACTTTCTACGAAAAGAAATTTACCTACCGAATTTATCTGGTGTTGCAATAATCCCAGGTACGCGAACGAGGAACTCATCGATGCGAGAGACTTCAACGGTGGGCAAGTAGTCTACCCAAGCCAACATGATTAATTAAATTACAATTTAAAGTCCATTGCATGGAGAACAAGCTGATTCTTTTATTTATGATTAGCTTATGAAAGATTAGTAAATATTTTTTATATTCAGTTTTGCTTGGCCATGAAAGGGGTATTTGAGATGATAGGCCCTGAATAAAGTATCGCTACCTAGTCGGTATCTTGAACAAGTTGGCTTGATTGCATTTTTCATTTGATTTATGCATAAGAAAGAACAAACGAAGAGCATTTACCTTCAGAAATGATAACTTGACCTATCGTGAGATGAACATACATTCGCTGGTATTCGCTGCATTATATATGCAGCAACTACTGTAGCTAGTAGCTACATTTTTGCGTCAGTATGGCTGTGCCGCGGCAGGTGTAGGGTGTGTCGCTTGACCACTCCGCGATAATGTATTTCCTGTGGCATGTTTGAATACGAATAATCACACGGTACTCTTTTTCTATTAAATTTAACGAAACAGCAGTGTTTGACTATGAACGATGTAGAATAACTTGTAAAAATGGAGTCTGGACACGAATGATGTCAGTGTTTTTTATAGGCGTCAAGTTACGAGAGTGCCATTGAGAAAACATCCACTAATCCAGTACGTGCGTCGTGGCCGGGAACGTCACTGTGCACTGGCAACATACTCTTGCAGTTTACGTAATTTACTGGTATTTTGTAAAGATTGTATTACAATCTTTGCTTCATGTTATTTCCAAGCAAAAAATGTAGGTAAAGATCGTTACTTGTTGGTACGCTACGTCTGTATGTTGCACAAATTTAATATTAGTCTTGTGATTATCAGCCTTCAGCCGCGTGTTCAATTCGAATAGAATAGAAGTGTCTGCACTGAAGAAATAGGCCCATGCCATGGCCTGTTGCCTATTCTTGTACTTTTCGCGACTTGATTCCACAAGGGATCCGGCCTTTTGAAGCCCATCTTTCCATTAATGACGATTGTTTGAGATAGCTGCTGGACTTATTGCAAGGCCCGTAAGGTGCTAGGCATTTCATGACTGAACATATGCAGTTATGCACCTGAATAACTTTGTCTCGTATGTTCTTGAAGGCGTTCATACTCGGAGCGGCAACGAATGCCAACGATGCGATCAGATCGGCTGTTCCACATGTC